CGGAGTTGGGCTCAGACCTCAAAGGCCTCGCAGAGCACGAGGCTCCGCTACCATGAGAAAGCTGACTCGCAGCTTCGCGCTACCTTTTCTACCACCAGCCTGTGTCCTCTTCGGACAGGCTCAAGGGCCCTTGGGAGCCAATCAGAAACGGCGAGCACACTCAAGTACAAACAACACATGAACCACATGTAGGGCCTCGGGCCTCATGAGGTGCCATGGTTTTCATATATCCCCGCCCTCCCTCCCCGCTCCCTCCCCCCTCCCCTTCCCCCCTCAGGCTTGATTGCTCCCCCGGCTTGAATCCGCCCCAAGCCAAACATGAACACGCTCCCTGGCACCACTTGTTTTGTGCGCGCTCACACGCTTGCGTGGGCAGTTGGGCGCTTGTTTTTTTGGTTAGCGCGGTCCCTTTGCTTGCGATGGCGCCTCGCGACGCGCCCCGCCGCGGCTCGCTCAGCCATCCTGGCACCGCTCATGTTGCGCTTTTGTCAACACACTTGCTTCTTTGCGCGTCCGCACTCACGTCCCCGGCTGCCTCAGTTGTGGGCCCCGGCGCCGCTCGTTTCATGCGCGCGCGCGCTTGCGTAGGCATTTGTCCGCGCACACTTCTTTGCGCGGCCCTCCCCTCTCCCTCCCCCCCGGGAGGGGACATGGTTTTGCGCTGCTGCAACCCTTGTTTCTACCACAGCTCCAGGATCTGCGGTCTGTCCAGCTCGGCCTCGATGGCTCCCAACGCCTCCCAACTCTGGCCGAGCTTGGCTACGGCGGCGGATGTTGCGCTCCTCCCATGCTGCCACCACTCCACTTGTCGCTCCAGCGCCTGGATGACCTCGAACAAGTGGCGCGTTGCTGCTCAAAATCTCGAGTCCTGCCGCACGCTCGCAATTTTCTGCTGCATTTCCTCGACAAACCCAGATCACCAACAGGTTGATTCAGTCCGTTTGGAGTTGGCCACAGTGCTCGGCCTCCCCGCCGCTGCTCTCGTCCATCACCAGCGCGTGGAGCTTGACCATGCTGCTATTCTTGTCCATCGCCGGCCCGTAGGGCTCGGCCATCGCGCAAATGTCACTGTCCTTTACTTGGAGAGCCTGACCTTCGTGTAGATGCTCTTGTCCATCACCAGTCAGCTCGCCCGGAAACTTGTCACTCTTGTGGCGCTTTCGGTGCTGCCGGGAGATCATTTGAGTTCCGTTAAAAACCCCCCTGGTAGAGGACTAGTGTTGCAGCGACCCAGGATTTTGACACACGCAGCGAAATGAGGCCGCCCCGCCTCTGAAGCAACTTGATAGCGTGGAGCCCGCCAAGAGCAAAATAAGTGGGAACGACATCTGAAACGACGTCCGAAACAACATCCCAGCGGCAGTAATCCCTTCTTCATACTTTGCGTACTACGCATTTCCTGACAAGTTGCGACTTTCCAGCCGGAGCTGCCGGAGCGGAGTTTGCGCGCTACGCTTGTGTTAAAAAGTTGCGGCTTTCCAGCCGGAGCTGACGGAGCCTGCTTGGCGTACTACGCTTGTACTGAAAAGTTGCGACTTTCCAGTCGGAGCTGCCGGAGCGCACTTCGCGTACTACACTTGTGCTGAAAGGTTGCGACTTTTCCACCCCGGTAATTTTGCACACCCTGCCTTTTTTCAGGGTTTGGGTGCTCTAGGTACGTAAAAGTTGCGACTTTCCAGCCGGAGCTGAGGAGCACACTTCGCGTACTACGCTTGTACTGAAAAGTTGCGACTTTCTAGGCGGAGTTTGATGTCCGCGTTGCCTGCGCAGGCTTGCCCGTGCATGTTTGACATGTTGCCTTGCAAGATGCCGTTGTCTGTACATCCTGCATTTTTTCCCACGGTTCATGCCGAGCCAGAATGACATCAGAACGACATCAGAACGACATCCACTTGCTTGTCCCACCTTCCCCAAAGTGTATTTCCTGTACCACACTTGTACTGAACAGTTGCGACTTTCAGCCGGAGCTGCCAAAGTGTCTTTCCTTTACTGCACTTGTACTGCAAAGTTGCGACATTCGAGCCGGAGCTGCCGAAGTGCATTTCCTTTGCTACACATGTACGGATAAGTTGCGACTTTCGAGACGGAGCTTCCAAAGTGTATTTCCTGTATCATGTACACTTGTAGTGAAAAGTTGTGACTTTCGAGTGCTGCCAAAGTGCTGCATTTCCGTCCCTAAATACTCGTACTTGTCAGTTGCGACGTTCGAGCCGGAGCTGCAAAAGTGTACTTCCTGTACTACACTTGCGCCGACTTTCGAGCCGGAACTGCAAAAAGTGCATTTCCTTTGCTACACTTGTACTGAAAAGTTGCGACTTTCGAGCCGGAGCTGCCGAAGTGTACTTCCCTTACTACACTTGTACTGACAAGTTGCTACCTCCGAGCCGGAGCTGCCAATTTGTGTTTCCTTTACTACACTTGTACTGAAAAGTTGCGACTTCGAAACCGAACCTCCAAAGTCCGTTTCCTTTTCTACACTTGTGCTGAACAGTTGCGACAATCGAGCCGGAGCTGCCAGAGTGCATTTCCTTTACTACACTCGTGTTGAAAAATTGCGACTTTCCAGCCGGAGCTGCCAAAGTATGTCTCCTTTGCTACACTTGTACTGAAAAGTTGCGACTTTCGAGCCGGAGTTGCCAATGTTTACTTGCAATAGTTGTTGTTGCAAGCGTTGTTTCTTACAAGGATGTCAACAAAATGAGGCCGCCCCGCATGAGACTGACCACATCATATCGTGGGTATAAGGAAAATTAGCGGGGTTTCCAACAGAGCTCATTTGGCCTGAGGGCCCTGAAAATCGCCTCACCCACTACCCTCTGACGCCAAGAGCGGGTTGACTGGCGCCGCTGGTGGCCCGCGCCTCCCATCACAGCGACCATCGCGGAGTCATAGGCCTCGACCTTCCGTCTCTGCTAGGAAAAAATAGGTTTGTCTGGGCTCATTTTGCGCTGCTATCACGCCGCAGAGTGCTGCCCGGCTGCCGGTTCTTTTACGGTTGCTAGCTTTCGTCCACCCCTCTATCAAGTTGAATGATTTGGCGATGTGTCTGTTGTCACGAGTGCACCAAACACCAATTGCTGCCTGGCGCACTTCAGCGGAGCCAGGTTGCAACTTGGTGAGTGTGCTTTCAAGGCAACATTTTGCGAGATGCGTCAAAATCATCAAAATCAGGCCTTTACGGTGTGCATTGAGCAGATATCGCCCTTGCACTTTTTCATGTCAATATTTGCGTTCCCAGTTCACTGAGAGTTTTGTTTCTTAAACTTTGCATTGGCTTTGCATTGATTACCTAAGGGTTGCGAGTGGAATAGGTTGCTCGGGCAGGTGAATGTTCGCCACTACAACGCAGCTTTCAGCACGAGCAGCTGGAGCGAGATCTGCAGCATAATGCGCAAGATGAGGCAGCTCGAGCTGCTGCCTGATGCAGTGACTCATAGCTCCTGTCTAACCGCTGCGGGGAAGACAGCCTCCTGGCCTTTGGCGACGCAGTGCATTTCCTTAATGAGTCTGTGTAATGTTGGACCAGATGCAATCAGCCTCAACTCGTTCGCAGCTGCATGTGCAACAGGGAGCAAGTGGCAGCTAGCACTCTTGAATACGCGCGGTGTTTCCTCAGACTCTATTGGTTGCACCAACTTGATATCGTCCTGCAAAGGCGACCGGTGGAGGACATCCTTGAACATTTTGCAGGACATGCCCTTCGACAATCATATTTGCCACAACGCATGTCTGGATGCCTGCGAGAAAGGCGAGCAGTGGGGCATTTCATTGCGCCTTTTGATCAGCATGCCCTTGCGGCAATTGCTTCTAGACGCCATCGGCTGGACTAGTGTGATCAGTGCATGTCAACACCACCTGGCGTGGAAATCTGCTGTGCACAGCCTTGGGCTGATGCGTGCGACCGGGGCGTCTCCAAATGTGCAAAGCTGCGGCGCGGCTATCGCGAGCTGCCGGGAGCGCTGGGCCGACGCGGTGGAGCTGTGCCGCGGCCTAGCTGCGTCGAGGGCGCTCAACGCCGTTGCGAGCAACGCGGTGCTCAGCTCTTTAGCCATCTCAGCTGTCAGCTCTGGCGACTGGCGACGCGCCTTCGGAGCCCTGGGTGCCTTTGCAAGCCGCGGCTTGGTGCGTGCGAAGGCGAACGGTCTCAACGCCTGCCTCGCCAGCCTGGCAGTGGGGTCTTGGCCCGTTGCCCTTCAGACGCTGCGGGTGCTGCGGGCTCGAGCAGGCGTGGATACTTTCGGCCCTGTGGTCAGTTCTCTGGAGAAGAGCATCAAGTGGAGGGAAGCATTCCATGTTTCGCATCAAATGGCTTGTCGCTCTGTCCGAGCAGATATAGCTTGTTGCAATTCCATTGTCAGCGCTTGCGCTCAAGAGTCGAATTGGAAGTATGCCGTGAACATTTTTGGAGGAATCCGGTTTTGCAGGCTCTCCTCAGACTTCATAACCCACAACTCGGTTATGACATGCTGCGGTGGAGCCCATCGTTGGCAGGCCGCACTTGGCTTGCTGGATCATGATAGGGCGCCTGATAGGGTTGCCTGTAGTGTCATGGTTGCCTCGTGCGTGCAGAGTTTTGCATGGCTGGCTGGGCTCAGCCTCCTCTCTTGGCACATCCTTGGCGACACAGGCGCGGCTTGCGCTATTGCCACCACCGCTTCGCTGGAAGGTTGCAGCGCAAGCCAAGCCTGGCCAAAGGTGCCGCCATTGCTTTGTCACTTGGGCGCATCGGCCTATACAGCGATCAGCGTTGCTTTCAAAAAAGGTTGCATTGCTTGGGTGTTTGAAGTGGAGATAAAGGACTTTGTTTGGCTTGAAGTGATGTTATCACCGTGCAAACGCGACCCGCCAGCTTCTGATAATATCATATGTGCATAGACTAATCATGGAGTGCATGAATGCAGTGCAAACAAAGCACAGCAGAAAGCCAAGAAGACCCTTCCTCGAGCCGGAAGACCAACAGAGGCACTCAGAGAAACGCAGAGTCAAGGGCTGTCGGTCAGGACGCCTGATATAGCAGACCATTTGGTGAGCAGCCATGGCCTGTGGGCAATTGCCGAGAGACCATGTTGAGGCTGGCTTGGAGTTTTAGAGGGGTCATCCACACTCGGCGCGGAGAGGTTGCGAGCCAGCTGCTGCCATGGGCTGGAACGGCGGTTCCAGGCCCTTGCAGCCCCAGAGGCACATTTTGGGTGGCCCAAAGCACTTTGCATCATGTTGCATGTTTGTTGAGGGAGCAAGAGCCTTTTTTTGCAAGTCTTTTCCTGAAAAACAGACGTGTCAGGCGTGCCGGGTCCAGTCCCCGGTCTTCACAGACACCCGGTTTGAGGACCTGGGCCTGGATGAGAGGCTGCTCAAGGGCCTGGAGGCGTCCTTGGGCCGGGGCGCCCGCTTGACGCCGGTGCAGCAGCGCACCCTGTCCCGCCTCTCAGAGGCGGATGCGTGGCATTGTGTGTTTTGCGGGGCTTGGTGCCAAGGAATCGCTTGACTGTCTTGACTCGCTTGACTCGCGAGACTGCACATTCTGGTGTGCGCGCCGACGTGTGCGCAGGGACGGCCTCCTGACCTCTTGCTGCAGGCCCCTCAGCCTCTCACTCCGCAGCCACGAGCTTTGCCGCGTTGCCGCTCGCTGTGCAGGCCCACACTGGAACGGGCAAGACTATCGCCTTTTTGCTGCCTTCGCTGCAGCGCCTTCTGCTGCGAGAGGAGAGTTGTCTGTGCTTTGCGGCTTTCCATTTCATAAATGTTCCTTGCAGTCTCCAAGGACTTTCCTCTCTTAAAATCTTGCAGTTTGCTCGCTTGAGCTTTTGAGCGCGAGGAGGCAAGACGTACAGGCGTTCCTCAACCGGAGGCCTCACCCGTACCTGGAATATTGCTCATATGTATAATATGCTGGATTGATGTAGGCATGATGTCTACATATTGCGATGCGAGACAATTGCTTCGCCTTTGTCGTTTTTTGAAGAGTTTGACAGCCATGGCTTGGACCCCTTCTAAAGAGAAGCCATCCTTCATACAGGGAGTTTGGATCATGTTTGGATCATCATGTGCAGACTTCAAATGCAGTTATTAGCGTCCAGTGCGCTTCGACCTTCGCCAGGGCGTGTCCGTGTTGGTGCTGGCGCCCACTCGCGAACTGGTTCTCCAACTGGCACTCGCCTCAAGTCGTTTGCACTCGGGATCGGTGCCAGAATTGCAAGGCTAAAGTTTCCAGCCGCCTTCTGCAGTACAGCGGCGGCCTGGTTCGAAGCTCCTTCGTTGCCGGTGGGTTTTCAATGCAGGAGAGCCTGTGAGACAGCCAAACAAAGCATCAGGTCAGGTGTGCGTTGGAGCCGTCAGGATGACATTGGACGGCTCAGAGCAGATGGGCCGCAGATACTGTTTGCAACACCTTGGCGTTTAGCCGCCATCTCGGTGCTCAAGGAGCTTTGTCATTCATGACTCATGCGCTTTGTTGCTTCTCCGAGTGTGGCCTTGCCTTGCAAACTTTGCAAACCTGACCCAGGTCCGGCATTTGCAAACAACTCCGCACTTCGTTCGGATCCGAGATATGCTGTTGCTTTCTGCAGGAGGCATGAAGCCAAGGTCAGTGCCCTGAAATCAATTGAGCTGCTTGTGCTGGATGAAGCGGATCGCTTGTTGGACCCGTCCTTTGTGCACAAGGCCCGTGTCCAATTTGATTGGACAACGCAGTTTGGAAAAGGTTCCCGGATGTTGTGAAGGTGGACTACGTCTTCCGATGCTTGCCCTCTGCTAGGCTTTGAATGCCATTTGCGGCCATTTCACTGTGCACGCAGCTTGCAGGCCTCAAATGTTGCTTTGCTCAGCGACGCCCGGCGCTTGCCCGTCCTGATCTCAAGTACGACTTGCCGGCTGTGAGGTTCAGCGAGCCGATGCGGAAATTTGCAGTCCGCTCCATGCGAGCACACTTGGAAGTGCCACCTGTTTGCAGAATACTTCTACATGTGCCAGCTTTGAATCCATAGGCAGATTGGTGATTGCAACTTTGAATGATTCAGTGTGGGTTCGCGGGTGCGCTCAGGATCAATACAGTTGCAGAGGCAGGATGTCCCTGGGTGCCAAGGGAGGGTAGCATCTCTGCTGATTTCAGGAGATTGGCCAGGCCAGTGAGGCTTGGACTCACGTGTTCACCTTAGTTGTTCACTCCAAACCTCTTGTGTTTACAGTGAGAGGCCTACCCACAAGCTCAGCAAGCCCAAGTTGCGCAGCCAGTGGACCAGGCCGTGAACTCTGGCTCATAGCAGCTGGGGATTGTGATTTCGACTGCGACTTTGTCGATGGCCACAATTTGCCTTGTCACATTGCAGAGGTGCTTGTGCGCTATCAGCCGGAGAAGTTCCTGCCAGTCCTGCATGCACTGCTGACCAGAGAAATGCAATGTGAAGGAGGCTTGGCATACTGCTGCGTGCAGGGACTGGACAACGTAAGGACGTAACACCTCAAGGGAGCGATTCCGCATAGGAGACCACCGGCGAGTGCTGGTGATTTTCCCCACTGTGCGGTGGCTGCAGCCCACCGCCGAGTGAGGAATTCTCTGGAGCTGGCCATTGTATTGCCTTCGAGGTTTTTCTACGTGCTTCTGAAGCATCGCGTAAACATGTCAGCAGCTCGGCGTTCGGCGCAGTAGCGCAGTGATCCACTTAATCCATTCAGCCATTTTTCTTCTGGGAGCGTTGAGCCTTCAGCGACTCGGCGAGCTGCGGTGCCTTGCACTGCGTGCGTGACTGCCCGAGGCCCGGGCTCTTCGCATTGCACCGCAGCCTGTCAGATGATCGGCGGCGAAGCCGCGCCGCATGCTTCTCCAAGGGTGCCGGGATCTGAGCTTTGCGAGAGGCGAGACAGGTTCTTGCTTGATTTTCTTGTTTGAAGGCTCGAGTTTTTTGCAAGCTGTGTCCTGCTTGCGCCAATTTGCGGCACATGCAAGACCTGCGAGGCTCCGCCCATGAGCGGAATTCTATTTGCCACCGATCTTGCTGCGAGAGGAATGGATTTTGTTTGGTGCCGAGTTTGAGCTGATGCGCAGAATTTCTGAGATTGAGTCTCTTGCAAACAATGACCGAGGATGTCCATGCAGTGGTTCAGGCCAGGTTGCATGGGGAGTCCGCGTTGAGTCCTAAGTTGATGCTAAGGTCGGGCCACCGAGTGACCGGGAGCAGTATGTGCACCGTGCCGGCAGAACAGGAGGGGGCAGCGGGGGCATCGGGCTGACAGGCTGGAACCACAGCCCAGGACGTTTGGAGTCCCGGGGGCGCTCGTTCCTTTTGCTGAACCCGCTTGAGGAGGCTGTGCTGCAGGAGACACGAGCCACCGGGAGAAACTTAAGTGCATCAAAAGTCAAAAATCTCCGCAGGAGCTGTCCGGGTTGCGGCTGCACGAAGAGACCATCCAGGCAGTTTCTGCACACAGCTCGGGTATAGTGCGTTGTGCTGCCAGGAGGCAGTCGGCTTGGATGCGGTGATGGAAAAGATGCATGGCTGGTGGGAGGACAGTCTGTCTCAAGGTACATCTTTCTATGAACCCATGTGAGGACACCAATGTGTCCGCATCTGGCCACCTGTTCTACGCCAGTGCCACGGCTTTCTACTTGAAGGAGATGGGTCGCTTGCGAGCTGCCTTCTCAGATTACTGATTTTTGTGTTTGCATGGGTTATCCCGGTTATATGGCCATCTCCCAAGGTTAAAGTTGGCGACCTGGTCTTCGCTGCTGGTTTTACTGAGTGTGAGTTGTGCAAGCAGTGGAACAGACGAGTGTGGCTAGGAGACTGTTGCCATGACAGGTGCAAGCTGTTGCGGCCATGTTGCAGTCTACTGGCTTGCCAAAGGATTCTCCGGCACTCACATTGGATAAAGTATCCGAGTTGAATCCGAAGTAAGTGAATCCGAAGTGGCATGACTGTGTGTCTTGATTGGGCCGCAGGAGCATGGCCTGCCTGCTATCCCGCGCGGCCTAGCAGCGCTGGGCTGAGACGCTTAATGTGAGGGAGTGGATTCAGTTTTCACCCATTTTATCCAGCCGTTGCACTGTCCAGCTAGCGATAGCCAAGGCACGATTGCGCGAAAAGGACTGGCCGCCATCAAGTGAAAACACTTTGTGAGCTTCAAGCTTTCGAGAGGACGAGCTGGTGCCTGTCCGCACGGAGACTGCGTTTTGGCTGTACATAGGCATGAGATGGGCATTGTCATTGAACTGGCATTTAGTTGATGGGTGATCTTGTTTGAGGATCGCAAATCCCAGGTGCGGGAGCGGTGGGACGTGCTGTCTGCCTTGGTTCCTGGCCCACGTGCCAGGCTGGGCAGCTTCAGCAAGCGGTTCTGGTTGACTCGTGGCTTCAGGTCGCCAGAGAGACTCTCCGAGCCACAGGAAGGCCACTTGAGAGAAATGCGGCGCACCTGTGGGAGCTTGGGTCGATTTCACGATACGCTTTTTGGCTTTTTGCTCAAAGCTTGCCATGCATGTCCTGGAAGAACAATCTAGCTGCACATCCCCAGCAGATAAAACAAGGAACACCTTGGATACGCCCTTGAGGCTTGCCTAAGCCTTGTCAAGCGGTTAGACTAAAGTGGGACTTCAGTGACTTCACCATTTTCACCTTGTCTGTTTTCACCTTGTCTGTTCTTTCAGCCTTCTCAGACCGAATGGCGCTAGCCGCGATGGATTTGGAGGCAGCCGGCCTGGCGGCGGTGTGCCAGGCCACCTTCACCCTTGGCTCGTGGAGGCGCGGGAAGGAGAGGGAGCCCGGAGGCAGGCAAGGAGGCCGGCCAAGAGGCCGGCGACTTGGGAGGTCAAAATGTTTCATGCCTCATAGCGCTCCCGTGCCAGATGGGGTTTGTGGAGCCCGCGGGACAAATCCTGGCTCGAAAGCGTGCAGAACCGGTGGCAGGAGCTTTCGAGTCGTGAGGGTTGGACTTCAAGAGTTTGCAATGCAGGAGCAGGTGAGGGCACTACCTGAGATGAAACTCGGTGCTCCCATCATACCCTTGATCATACATCAGCAGCTGGGCCAAAAGGGTCGCGATGTGCATCAAATCGCAACCAACACAGCGGGTAGCCAAGCTGGTTCAGGATCTGGCTTGGCAGCTCGACGCGCCCAGAGATCTGTGAGCACTTTGCGGAGGGCTGGCGGCGATGTCTGAAGCTTGGCTGAAGATGTCACAGGTGTGTCTCATTGTGGACTTGCATCAGAGAGGCGTGTGCGCACAAGGCCATCCAACTTGGGAGTACCGGCTGTGGACGGACGAGCATGCGGACGCCTTGCTGGACCATCATCCCCGCTTGGTTCAGGCATCGCTTGCGGCATGCGAGCGAACTTTGTACACACACACACACAGACACCCAGACCCAGACCCAGACCCACGCCCACGCCCACGCCCACCCCCACCCCCACCCCCACCCCCACGCCATATGCGCACACGCGCACGCACACACGCACACGCACACAGGTGCACACGCGCGCACGCACACGCACACGCGCATCGCGCACATACGCGCGCGCGCACACGCGCACACGCGCACACACGCACACACGCACGCACGCACGCACGCACGCACGCACGCACGCACGCACGCACGCACGCACGCACGCACGCACGCACGCACGCACGCACGCACGCACGCACGCACGCACGCACGCAC